AAAAAAAAAAAAAAAAAAAAAAGCAGTACAACAACTATTTACATTGTATTAGATATTATAAGTAATCTAGAGATGAATTAAAGCACAGGTTATATACATACATACTATGGCATTTTATATAAGGAAGCTGAATATCTTCAGATTTTGCTATCCAAAGGAATCCTAGAACTAATACCCTACGGATACCAAGGACAACTATAATTACTTTGATTATTTTATTCAGCAATAACCCTGCAATCTATAATCTTCCTTTTACCTAGATCTTGTTTTTGGTCTAAGGTTACTTTAATACATTAACAAATTCTAAAGTTAACTTTTCATTCCTAATTTTATGTAGTTTGTGTTATTGTGCTTTGCAAATATTACATCTTATTTCTTAAAAATTGAAAGCTTGTGGCAACCCTGTGTCAAGCAAGTCTATTGCCATCATTTTTTCCATCATCATGTGCTCCTTTCAGGTGTCTGTGTCATGTTTTGGTTATTCTTGACAATATTTCAAACTTTTTCATCAATATTATTTTATCTGTTATGGTGATCTGTGATCAGTGATCTTTGACATTCCTTCTGTAATGTTTTGGGGCATCACAAACTGCATTTATATAAAATGGTAAACTAATCAGGCACAGTGGCTCATGGCTGTAATCCCATCGCTTCGGGAGGCTTAGGTAGGCAGATCACCTGGCGTCAGGAGTTGAGATCAGCCTGGCCAACATGCTAAAACCTTGTCTCTACTAGAAATATAAAAATACAAAAATTAACTGGGCATGGTGGCACACACCTGTAGTTCTAGCTACTTAGGAGGCTAAGGTCCGAGAACTGCTTGAACCCCAGAGGTGGAGTTTGCTATAAACCAAGATCACATCACTGCACTCCAGCCTAGATGAAACAGTAAGTCTCTGTCTCAAAAAAAAAAAAAAAAAGTGAACTTAATAAATGTTGTGTATTCTGACTACTATATTCTCCCATCTATCTCCTCTTCAGGCCTTCCTCTTCATTCAGACACAACAGTACTGAAATTAGGCCAAATAATAATAGCCCTATAGTAGCCCCTAAGTGTTCAAGTGAAAGACAGCTGCGTATCTCTCATAAATCAAAAGCTAGAAATGACTAAGCTTATTGAGAAAGACATGTTGAAAGGTAAGACAGGCTGAAAGCTAGGCCTCGTATGACAAAGCTACCAAGTTGTGAAGGCAAAAGAAAAATTCTTGAAGAAAATTAAACATGCTATCAGTGAACACACTAATGATAAGTAGAACACACTAATCACTAAGTAGCCTTACTGAAGATATACAGTAAGTACTAGTGGTCTGGATAGAAGACCAAAACAGCTATAAATTTCACTCAAGCCAAAGCCTAATCCAGAGCAAGGCCTTAACTTGCAATTCCATGAAGGCTGAGAGGTGAGGAAGCTATAGAGGAAAAGTTTGATCTAGCAAAGATTGGTTCATGAGGTTTAATGAAAAAAGCTGTCCCCGTAAAGTGCAATGTGAACAGCAAGTGCTGATGCATTAACAGAAACTGTAGCAAGTTATCTAAAAGATCTAAGATTATTAATGAAGGCGGCTACATTAAACAACAGATTTTCAATGTAGATGAAACAAGCTTCTATTGGAAGATGCCACTGAGGACTTTCACAGCTAGAGAGAAGTCTATGCCTGCCATCAAAATTTCAAAGGGCAGGCTGACTCTCTTGACAGGCTAATGCAGCTAGTGACTTTAAGTTAAGCCAACACTGATTTACCATTCTGAAAATCCTACAGCCAGCGTGAATTATGCCAAATCAACTTTGCCGATGATCTAAAATGGAACAACAAAGCCTGGATGACAACACATCTGATTATAACACGGTTTGCTGAATATTTTAAGCCCACTGTTGAGACATGCTGCTCAGAAAAAAAAAAAAGATTCCTTTCAAAGTAGTACTGCTTATTCACAATGCACTTGGCCACCCAAGAACTCTTACAGACAAGGAGATTACTGTTGTTTTTGTGCCTGTTAACACAAGTCACTGTTGTCCCTGAATCAAGAGTAATTTCAACTTTCAAAGTCTTTATTATGTAAGAAATAACACTGGACACAGATATAGCTGCCATAATTAGTGATTCCTTTGATGGATCTAGGCAAGTACACTGAAAACCTTCTGGAAAGGATTCACCATTCTAGATGCCATTAAAAACATTCCTGGCCTGGCATGGTGGCTCACGCCTGTAATCCCAGCACTTTGGGAGGCTGAAGTGGGCAGATGAGGCCAAGAATTTGAGACCAGCCTGACCAATTGGTGAAACCTCGTCTCTACTAAAAATACAAAAATTAGCCAGGCATACTGGAGGGTGCCTGTAATCCCAGCATTTGGGAGGCTGGGCTGGGGCAGGAGAATCACTTGAACACAGGAGGCAGAGGCTGCAGTGAGTCGAGATCACACCACTACATGCCAGCCTGGGCAACAGAGTGAAACTCTGTCAAAAACAAACAAACAAAAATTTCTGATTCACGGGAGGAGGTCAAAGTATTAATCATAACAGGAATTTGGAAGAAGTTGATTCCAACCCTCAAGGATGACTTTGAGGGGTTCAAGACTTTAGTGAAGGAAATAATTGCAGACATGGCAGAAATAGCAAGAGAATTAGAATAACAAGTGGAGCCTGAAGATATGCCTGCATTGCTATAATCTCACACTAAAATGTGAACAGGTGAGGAGTTGCTTCTTATGGATGAGTAAAGACAGTGGTTTGGTGAGATGGGATCTACTCCCGAAGATGCTGTGAATGTTGTTGAAATGTCAACAAGGCTTTTAAAGAAATGACTATAATTTTGCAGGAAATTCTATGGGTAAAATGCTATCAAACAGCTTCACATGCTACAGAGCCATCTTTTGTGAAAGTTAAGAGTCCACTGATGCAGCACATCTTTATCTCATTTTAAGAAAATTGCCACAGCCATCCAAACCTTCGGCAGCCATTCACATTGACACAAAACTCTCCATTAGCAGAGATTATGACTTGCTAAAGGCTTATATGACAGTTACCATTTTTTAGCAATAAGGTATTTTTTAAGACAAGAACACTGAAAATTAAAAAGACCAAAGACATGTACATTGTTTTAGCTGCACATTTAATAAACTATAGTATAGCATAAACATATTTTATAAATAATTATTTTTAGAAACAGAGTCTTGCTCTGTTATCCCAGCTGGAGTGCAGTGGTATGATCACAGCTCATTGTAACCTCAAACTCCTGGATTCAAGTGATCCTCCCACCTCAGCCTTCTGAGTAGCTAGGACCACAGATGCACACCACCCTGCTGGGCTAATTTTTAAATTTTTTTTGTAGAGACAGGGTCTTGTTATGTTGCTCAGGCTAGTTTGGAACTCCTGGCCTGAAGCAGTCCTCCCACCTTGTCTTCCCAAGGTGTTGGAATTATAGGTGTGAGCCACCACAGCCAGACTAAACATATCTTTTATACGCACTAGGAAACCAAAAAATTTTTATGACTTGCTTTACTGTGATATTTACTTTGCTGTAATGGTTTAGCACCAAACCTACAATCTCTCTAATCTCTGCCTTACTGGAATCGTTTCAATCTGGGAGTTTCTTGGGCACGTTTCTTCAGAAAGTTAGGTCTTTAGAACATGCAGCCAAAAACCTTTTTTTCCTTATCATTTCCGCCAGATCTCCTTAACTAACTTAGTTTACTACTCACCCTTGTAACCATCAGGAAAGGGTTGGTTATACTATGTGATGGTTAACAATCAACTCCCAAATCTCAGTGTCTTAAACAATTAATGTTTTTATTTCTCTCTCAACCCTAACAGGTTGTCAAGGGGGCTTCTCTAAGTTACTCAAAGAACCAGGCTCGCATAACTGACATCATCTTCAATGTGGCTGGTCACTGTAACAGAAGGGGGAATAGACTGCAGAGTTTTCCATCAATTAAATGCTCTGGCCCAGACTGATGTTGCTTTCGTTCATGAGTCAGAACTAGTCTCAGTCCCCAAGCAACTACACAAAAAGGTCAGGAAGGAGGTCATGTATCTGGAAGGTGAGAGAAACATTATTCTCCTTTTCTAACTTGTGACTTTTTACCAGATTAGATTATATAGTGCTTTCTCTTCTTCCCACAATCCTTTACACCTCTGTGTCTTTGCCCATGAAACACTTTCTTTATGTGGATCATTCTGCTTGGATGTCTCCTCCCAATCATTGCTATTATACTAATCCTTGAAGAACCATGTCAGAGTCTACCTTTCCTGACCAAGCCAATCAACTCTCTTCCCTAGGCCTATTAGCCCTGTGATGTTTCTTCAATGGAAACATTAATTACTAACTTTTAAATTACTTTTTGTGCATTAATCCC